CCCCGAAAGGGGGTTTTTTTCCCTTTAACCCCCCCCCCCCCCCCAATTAAGCACCAAGTTGCCAAGCTCTTTGTTAATTACTTGATTAATTTCTTCAGCCCTTTGGTTGTTGGCCCTGGAGGGGGGGGAGAAAATTGGGGGTGACACCAATTAAACTCCCCCAAACACCTTATTTTTGGGGTGATTTTCCTCATTTTTGGGACCGACCCGGGGGGTAGGAAGGATCTTGGTGTGTCGTTAAGTCTTAATTATTTTTTTAATTAGCTACAGGCCGGGTGGGGGACTTTCTCCTCCGACTCCGGGAGGCGGCTGGGCTAAAAAAGGGTTAAAAACTCATTTAATTTATCAAAAGCTTGTGGTTAATAATTAAAACTTCTCTCCCTTCCCTTCCCCCCCCCTCCTCCCCCCGCCCCGTTCCTCGTTAGCGGGGAAGGGCCGGGTCACGTGCTAATTACGCCTGAGGTTCTGGAAGGGCAGGATTGGGCTAAAAAAATGGCAATTTGGGGAGCGGGATTGAGCCAGAAAGGTCTTTTTAAGCCTTTTTCCACATTTATTACCCCAAATTATGGGAGGGGGCGGGGCTTGGACCTGGCTCTTCATCTTCGTTAGCGAGAGATTAAATGAGGGGATTAAAAGGAAGAGGTTTGGGGGGTATTTTCTTAGAATTTGGGGTTTAAATCCCCAAAATCTGGTTACTTCTCCCTTTTCCGCTGAATTTTAACCCAAATTTGGAGAATTTCGAGGTTTGAAGAAGAAATGAGATGGGTGTAGAAGGGGGAGGGGGGAGTAAAAAGGTTGGATTTAATTAATTTAATTAAATTGAATTAATCTTCGCAGCCCAAAGAGTGGCGGGTGCTGCTTTTTGGGGGTAAAAAACCAGGAATTGGTCGATTTTATTATTTATTTTTTTTTAATTTTTTTTTTTCACCCTGGGGGGGTTTGGGGGCAGAAAACGCCGATGATTTTGGGGATTTAGCCCAAATCTTCAAATTTCCAGATTTAGGAGTCGTTTCCCCACATCTAGATCTATATTTGCTTATTTTTAGCTTATTTTGAGCCGTTCCTTCCTGGATTCACCCCTCAAAAAAGGGGGGTTTTGGAGCGATGACCCAAAGAGGAGTTTTCTTTGGAAAATGAGGATTTTTGGGGGCAGAATAGAAGGAAATTTGTATTTCTTTTTTTTTTTTTTTTTTTTTTTTTTGTGTTGGGGGGGGGGGATGTGTCTTGGGTGACAATGTTTGGAAACAGAGTTGCTTTTTTTTTTTTTTTTTTTTTTTTTTTTTTGAGGAGCTGGGGAAGGGGATAGTGATTCCCAGGCCCGAAAAACTGGGTGTTTTACCCCAAAAACCCATCGGACCTCAACTGGGAGCCCCAACGTAGACCCTGCTCGTTAGGGCTGCGATTAATTAAAGCTTTGGGGTGTTGATTTACCATCCCCTCCCAACAGATGCCGTCTTAGACAGCTCATGGCGTTAATTAGCGGGGATTAACGAGCGCCAGCCGGGGGTTGGGGGCTCCAGGGTTGGGGGGGGGGGTTAATGCAAACGCCAGACGGGGTAATGCTCGTCCGTCCGTCTGTCCGTCTGGGATTGGTCAAGGTGGGGACATGGTTGGAGAGTTGGGATTGGTCAACGTGGGGAGATGGTTGGAGGGTTGGGATTGGTCAACGTGGAGAGATGGTTGGAGGGTTGGGACTGGTCAACGTGGGGACACAGTCAGAGAGTTGGGGTTGGTCAACGTGGAGAGATGGTTGGAGGGTTGGTCAAGATGGGGAGATGGTTGGATGATTGGCCAAGGTGGGGAGATGGTCAGAGAGTTGGGATTGGTCAAGGTGGAGAGATGGTTGGATGGTTGGTCAATGCAGGGAGATGGTTGGACAGTTGGGATTGGTCAAGGTGGGGACATGGTTGGAGGGTTGGGATTGGTCAAGGTGGGGAGATGGTCAAAGAGTTGGGATTGGTCAACATGGAGAGAGGGTTGGTCAACGTGGGGAGATGGTCAGAGAGTTGGGATTGGTTAACGTGGGGAGATGGTTGGAGGGTTGGGATTGGTCAAGGTGAAGACATGGTCAGAGGGTGTATTGGTCAAGGTGGGGAGATGGTTGGAGGGTTGGGATTGGTCAAGGTGGGGAGATAGTCAAAGAGTTGGGATTGGTCAACGTGGGGAGATGGTCAGAGAGTTGGGATTGGTCAAGGTGGAGAGATGATCAAAGAGTTGGGATTGATCAACGTGGAGAGATAGTTGGAGAGTTGGGATTGGTCAAGGTGGAGAGATGGTCAGAGGGTTTGGATTTGTCAACGTGGGGACATGGTCAGAGAGTTGGGATTGGTCAAGGTGGAGAGACGGTCAGAGGGTTGGGATTGGTCAACGTGGGGACACAGTCAGAGAGTTGGGATTGGTCAACGTGAAGAGGTGGTTGGATGGTTGGTCAAGGTGGGGAGATGGTTGGACAGTTGGGATTGGTCAAGGTGGAGAGATGGTCGGAGGGTTTGGATTGGTCAAGGTGGAGAGATGGCTGGATGACTGGTCAATGTGGGGAGATGGTTGGAGAGTTGGGATTGGTCAAGGTGGAGAGATGGTCGGATGATTGGTCAACATGGGGAGATGGTTGGAGATATGGGATTGGTCAAGATGGAGATATGGTTGGACAGTTGGGATTGGTCAACGTTTGGGACATGGTCAAAGAGTTGGGATTGGTCAAGGTGGAGAGATGGTGAAAGGGTTGGGATTGGTCAACACGGAGAAGGCTCCAGGTAGACCTTGTGGTGACCTTCCACTTGTATTTGGGCATGGTGGGACTGTTTTTAACCTAAAAAAGGAGGAATTTAGCCCAGAAATGGTGAAGAAACTTGTGATGGTGGGGATGATGGTGGTGTTGGTGGTGGTGATGATGATGATGATGATGGTGGCTCCATCCCTGGAAGGGCTCAAGGCCGAGTTGGCTGGACCTTTGAGTGACCTCACGTGGTTGAAGATGGACCACTCATGGTCCTTCCCCACCCAAACCCTCCCGAGACCCCACCATGACCCCCCCTCACCCTCTTCTCTCCCCCCTTCATTGCAGGATGGCCCGGCCGCCGTGCCACCCATCAAAGAGTTGGGATTGATCAACGTGGAGAGATAGTTGGAGAGTTGGGATTGGTCAAGGTGGAGAGATGGTCAGAGGGTTTGGATTTGTCAACGTGGGGACATGGTCAGAGAGTTGGGATTGGTCAAGGTGGAGAGACGGTCAGAGGGTTGGGATTGGTCAACGTGGGGACACAGTCAGAGAGTTGGGATTGGTCAACGTGAAGAGGGGGTTGGATGGTTGGTCAAGGTGGGGAGATGGTTGGACAGTTGGGATTGGTCAAGGGGGAGAGATGGTCAGAGGGTTTGGATTTGTCAACGTGGGGACATGGTCAGAGAGTTGGGATTGGTCAAGGTGGAGAGATGGTCGGATGATTGGTCAACATGGGGAGATGGTTGGAGATATGGGATTGGTCAAGATGGAGATATGGTTGGACAGTTGGGATTGGTCAACGTTTGGGACATGGTCAAAGAGTTGGGATTGGTCAAGGTGGAGAGATGGTCAGAGGGTTGGGATTGGTCAACGTGGGGACACAGTCAGAGAGTTGGGATTGGTCAACGTGAAGAGGTGGTTGGATGGTTGGTCAAGGTGGGGAGATGGTTGGACAGTTGGGATTGGTCAAGGTTTGGGACATGGTCAAAGAGTTGGGATTGGTCAAGGTGGAGAGATGGTGAAAGGGTTGGGATTGGTCAACACGGAGAAGGCTCCAGGTAGACCTTGTGGTGACCTTCCACTTGTATTTGGGCATGGTGGGACTGTTTTTAACCTAAAAAAGGAGGAATTTAGCCCAGAAATGGTGAAGAAACTTGTGGTGGTGGGGATGATGGTGGTGTTGGTGGTGGTGATGATGATGATGATGATGGTGGCTCCATCCCTGGAAGGGCTCAAGGCCGAGTTGGCTGGACCTTTGAGTGACCTCACGTGGTTGAAGATGGACCACTCATGGTCCTTCCCCACCCAAACCCTCCCGAGACCCCACCATGACCCCCCCTCACCCTCTTCTCTCCCCCCTTCATTGCAGGATGGCCCGGCCGCCGTGCCACCCCCCAGCGTGACCCACCACCACCACCCGAGGACAACCATGTGGCACCACCGTGGCCTTCACGGTGTCCTGCTGGCCACCCGCCGGCCGGTGCCAACCCAAGCCACCCCGGTGACCCGGCGCCGGTGGCAATGAGCGGCCTCGTCCCCGGACCATGAGCTCCCACCGCCCTCCCCGGCACGACGGCTCCGATGCCGAGGGTGGCCCCACGGTGGCTTTTTGGCACCAAAATGGCACGGTGGTGGCCACCACCACCACCATCTCCTCCTCTTCCACCACCACCACCACGGGAGGTGACACCCCTCGCCCGGGCCTCGTCACCCCCGCTGTGCCTAAAATGGGGGTGCGCGCTCGCATCGCCGATTGGCCCCCCAAAAGAGATGTCACCAAGGACCCCCCGACGTTCCGGGATGGCAACCGGGAACCCACCTCTTGGCGAAGTTCTCCTGGTGGCCACCAAGCTTTGGGTGGAGTTTCGGGCTTCAAGGCTCTTCACCGGTTGGCTCGTCGCCGTTCCAAGGAAGTGGAATTCCAAGAAGAAGGTTGGAGTCGTGGTTCTCCGGCCAAGGCCTTGGCGCCGTTACGGCACCGCAGCAGCAGCGAGGTCACCTTGAGCGAGTGCGATCCCGAAGAAGGTGCCGAATCCCGAGGGAATCCAGGTCTTTTCCGGGAATACGGCAGCACCTCTTCCATCGACGTCCAAGGCATCTCCGAGCAGAGCTTTTTCCAAATGCTCAACGAATTCCGTAATGGAAAAACCCAACCCAAGTTGGAAAACGCCGGAGATGGCGCCTTCCCACCGGGATCTTCTCCCGAAGGGTTGAAAACGGGTGGAAAGAAGGAGGAACCTTCAACTCAACCCAAGGAGAAACCTCGCCGGAGATGTCCCAAGGGAGAAGAATCCATCTTCAAGAAACTCCGGAGCGGCCGAAACGAGGGAGAAACGGGCAAAGAAGCGGAAGAACCGCGAGGGACGGGGACGACCCCCCCGGAACCGGGCAAACCTTGGATGTGTCCCAAGAGTTTTGCCCACTACGACGTCCAGAGCATGCTCTTCGACCTTGGGGTGGTGGCCACCAAGCGAGCGGTGGTGGCCCAACGGCGAAACACCACCACGGGGGCTTCGGCGGCTTCGGCTCCCGCTTTTCGAAGCACCGGGGGGGGTGTCCCGGGGGGGTCGGACTCTTCGTTTTCCAACATCGAAGACCTCAATCGGAAGGAAAATTTGGAAAGAGACCTCGGAGATGCCACCAGCAACGAGCTCCTCTTGAGTTGTCCCCATTTTCGGAACGAGATCGGGGGCAGCGTGGAACGTAACGTCAGCTTCTCCAAAGCTTCGGCGGGTTCTCCTGGGGTGACCGGGAAGGAAATCGGGGGGGGTTCTTCTTCATCATCATCATCATCATCGTTAAAAGAACCTCCCCTTCCTCTACGTCCCACCAACGCCGGCGTCTCCGTCCTGGAGGTCCCCAAGGAGCTGCAGAGGAACCTCAACCGCCTCAAGCACCACAGCGTGGAGCACGTGGACCTCGGCGCCCGCTACTACCGGGACCATTTCCACGGAAAAGGTTGGGGGGGGGAGGTTTTTTTGGGGGGGAATAGGGGTT